GGTGAAATCAATTCCATCATTCTTCGACCCGGAGGAAGATAATAGCAAAAATGAACAACGTGGGTGGACCGGCGACGGAGGCGACCATTGGAAGCAGCGTGAACTCAAGGTACCGGTGTTTGCGGGTGATTTCGGTGATGGTTTTAAGGGTGGAGGCCAAGGTGGATTTGCTGATGCTAGGGGTTTGGATGGAAGGGTGACCATTTTTGAAGGTGGTTTGGGTGGGATGAGGCACAGCAGTTTCGCTGACATCTACGGGGGTGGGGGGATTTTCGAGAGGGGTGGTGCTGGAGGATGTGGTTCCGGTGGTGGTCCAGGAGTTTTAGCCGGAAAAGTTGAGAGTGGTGGTAAGACCGCCGCTAGTGGTGGCCTGAAAAAAGACGAAGCTGGCTTCGGGTGTGGGTGAGGTGGTGGCCCGGGTTGTGGGGTGCGTGAACAAAGGACCGCAGGTGGTCTCGGCTGTTGGGTCGCCAGAGAAAAAGGTGGGATAGGAGGAATTTTTGAGAAGGGCGGTGCTGATTGCAGCGGGTCCGGTGGTGGTCCCGGATCGGAACCCAGCACAAAGGGTGTGATTTCTCAAATGGTTTTACCGGCGACGGGTGTTTGGCCGGAGGTGGAGCAGGAGTAAGGTTTCTAGGGGAGTGGTTTGACTGGTTACTTGGTGGGTTCTTAAAGTGTGCAGAGAAGCAGCTTTTGGCAGAAGGTTGACTGAAATTTTCTTTGGCTTGTGGAGGAAGCCAATTTTGAAAAATGTTAGTAAGGGTATTATAGTAATACACCTTGGAGATATTGCAAAGGCATTCAGCCAAGAGTCACATGCTTCCAACAAAACAGATGGCCAACGCACAGTCTTTTTCTGTGTTAAAGAAAGACAAACAAATGGGCTTAATGACTCAAGGCCTAGTTTTCTTTCTCCTATTCTCACTGCCCAACTCACCACTCCACTTTACATGCAGCCCACTCTTTCCACTCTCAAAAGTCATTCTCTTCCTTCATCAACTTTGAGAGATCATTACTTTTGCCGAGAATCGAGAGCTCATTATTATCCACCTTGAGGACAAGGTGGAAGTTTAGGGGCCGGTAATGTAATAGACCAACATTAGGAAGGGTATTTTGGGAAGTCTAATGCTTTTAGGGTAGTAGTCACTTGACCTTAGTATAAACAGGGATATTATATGCAGTAGGATGGCATGTGAATTATGAGGAAAAATGTTGAGAGTAGTAACCTCAAGTTACTAGGAGAGTGATAACCTAAAGTTATCAAGAGAGTGATAGCCTTAAGCTATTAATCTATCCTTTTGTACCCACATTCTGCCACTATTAATCTAAATTATCAAGTTTTTAATCTCTTAATTAGTCTTTAAATCAGAAAATACTAAGTCAGTCCATAACAAAGTCCTTGTTAAATGAAGCCACAATTTCAACATGAATATTGAGATTAAGATATTCATCTTAGGTAAATCTAAGATTTAATGTCACTTTAGATGCAGTGAAGTCATTCCAGTAGTAAGTTGAAACATAAAAAAATTTATTCCCATCTTACAAGATTTATTACTTCATAATTTTCATTTAATCACCAGTAACTCTTTGGGATATTAATGCAGGGAATCAGATACTATAATATATTATCCTACCTGCAAGAAGTCGCATATGACAGAAACAAAGTCACGAAGTCTTTGCACAAATACATATTTCTCTCCAGCGTCAGATGAAGACTTCTCAAGCACAGTGATATTCGTTAGTGATGCAGACAAACTTTCATCAACACGAGCCAGCGAAGTCATGGTTTTCTCATGTGTTTCCTAAAAACAAAGAAAGGGAGCAGAAATCAAGCAAAACATATGAGAACACAACAAGCCAAAGAACGAAAACTTGCAGCGTTATTATGTCCACAGGCGTAAAAGGTGTGTGGAAACAGATGCCTAACATCCCCGTAATGCAGAACAAAATTACACCAGGGTTACAGTCCTTACAAATGGCCATCATGACTTCATGTTTCATGATTCAGCAAAAATACCACCCGTTTTTTGATTTCATTAAAACTCCAACTACTTTCCATACCAGAAAGAGACAAATTCTACTTTTTAAGTAATTTCACTTAAAGCTAGAGTTACAGAAAAGATTGATATAATCATGGGTCCAAAGCAGCATAACACCACACGTTTGCTCTTTAACAAAAAAAAAAGTCCTTTTACAGCTTGATGCACATTACTGATAGTTAGCATATAACAACCAGTATTTACAGTTTTTTACAGAATAGAACATCATCAAGTTAAAAATAAGACTAGACCACAAAAACTGTAATCCAGATTAACATATATATGTAGAAGATCCCAAACTATCAGCATCTCTAGTTCCTTTTCTTTCTTTCTTTTTTTATGATATGATGAGAAGCAGTCCTATGAGAAACCGAAGGCTAAATATTGAAAATCAAATCCAAAGAGAAACCATGGGTAGTCAAACCCATAGGACTCTAGGGACAATGTGAGGAAAAAATTCTCAACTTCGAAGGTATGAGGGAGCTCTAACATACTCTCACACTTAACTGAGTAGCTCATACAAGGGTAGGGTGGACAAAGAGAAAAGGAGGTGGGGGAATAAGGAGAAAAAAAAGTAAGCACATACAAAACCTTCCATAGCTCCATCCTACACTCCTATTTGGAGTTTGTTAAACTACCCAAGCTGCAGATGCAACTATCATGAAAAAAAATGTGACAAATAATCTAAACATGTGTCGTGTGAATCACTTCTTCACATAAAATGTAAGGACAACATCTAAATTTAAAATACAATTATCTTTTCTTAAGCAGATGGAGGAAATTCTTTACCAGATAATGGATGTTTCATTCTCCACCTTGAGCCAAAGTATATTATTATCAATCAAGGTTTTCAAATAAGTTCAAAATAAAATTCATCAATTATCAGGTGGAAAAACTATGAGCACAGGTATGCCTCTTAGCTATAGGATCACAATCTATACTAAATAAAAAAATAAAAAAGATGACGAGTCTAAGATGAATACTCTCACTTTTCTAACTTCCCTAGGAGTAAAACAATAACACAAGCAAGTGTTCATTTGTGATGAGGAATGGTTGGGGTTATGGTCATAATTGTCATATTATATTACATGTATATATGAGCACATATTCATAACAACAATGTAAAAAGAAAGAAAATATATTGTCCGTGTAATACTTCTTTTGTTCCATTTACTTGCTCCATTCTTTTTGGGTGTCCTGATTTACTTGCCCTATTCCTCTTTAGCAAATACAAGTTCTCTACTTTTTACCTTGAGTTGGGTCTCAGATAGTCATCCGCCCACATTTTTCTCTCTACATCTCCACCCCTGACTACAATCTAGAATTTCCACAATACCTAAACAAGTTTCTTGAAAAAAAAAAAGATAATATAGGGAAAAATTACACATACCTTAAGTCTCTTCAAGTTATCTTGAAAAGCTTGTTTGGCAATTTTAGCCTGCTGAGATATGGACATTGTTCCAGCACCCTGTACACCACCAATTGCCCCTCCAATGCTGGGTATCCCAGCAGGAATACTGGCAACAGATGAATGAGAAATTGGTGATGCGTACATGTAACTTTGAGGTTGAATAGATGATGCATTTCTGCTAACTTCGGTAGGTCCTTCTTCCATTCTCTTTCCCAGACCTTTCCTAAACTGCTCCTCTTCCCATTTTCTCTCTTCCTCATCGTCGTCATCATCTTCCAGACTACTCTGTCCAGCACGATCTGGTCTTTCATCTACATCCTCGAATACACCCTTTCTAGGACCATCTATCTTCTCACCAAACATTGCAATTCGAGTTTGAAATTCTGGTTCCTCGTCACTTAACCCCTCAGCAGCTCCATGATTGCTTCCAGAATCCAATGATATATAATCTGGTGCTGCAGCCCGTGATTGACGAAGCTTCTCCCTCTTTGCCCGTATAGCATTAATTGTTGCTTGATCTAGGATATCCATATCCTTCTCCCTCGTCTCTTCTTTTCTTGAAGGTTTGTCTTCATTGAACTCATCACCAGCACTCCCAGTTTCTAGAACTGGTTTGACAAGACCCTTGAGAACAATTACAGGCTCTGAGGAAGAAGTAGGTTTCGTGTCTGATGCTGCCGGTCTCGACCTAGAGCTAGCAAGGGTTTTGGTATTCTTTTGCAGCTCAAGGAGGGCTTCTTTTGTATATTGGCCAGCTTGAGGTTGGACATTGGAGGGAAGTGAAGTCGAGGAAGACCCGCGACGATCCTTGACAGACGTAATATGATGAGAGGAACTGGACTTGGAAAGACGGGATGAGGAAGATTTTTGCGGCCGAGAAAATGGGGTCTCATTTTCTTCATCTTCAGCAAAACTAAGAAGCTTTTGGTGGCTTTTCTTCGGTTTGTTATTAGAAGCTGCAGCTTTGTTCAAAGATGGTTTTGTGGGAGTTTTAGATGGATCCCCACTACCGTTAGTTTCATTATCTTCATTGTCATCACCTACTCGACGACGAAAATTTTTCGATCTAGAGCTCATTGATATCACTCCCAAAACCCCCTCAACAATCCCCAATCTAATCTAAATGTCAAGGTTTACCTGTTACAATTAAGGCAGGGCATAATTTTAGGGATATTTGATTCAACAATCTCATAATTTTGGTTATGATATTTCATAATCTAAGAATTTACGAACCCTAAACTTAGAGCACTGATAATTAAATTAGATAAGATCAAATATAAACCCTAGATTGTGAAATTGATATGATGATAACAACAACAAACAACTCACCTTAGCAGCTGCTTCAATGGGGGATACAACAACGGAGAACGCTTCCAATGGAGAACGTTGAGTGCGCTTCAATGAAATAACTCAGTGAGGTAGGAAATAGGGATGGAGGCCTTTAAAAACGAGCGCTGCCCAGTTAATATGCGATATTGACAATCAGCGTCAATATAGTGGCAAAAACGCAAATATAACAACTTCGCTGAATTCTTTTATTATTTTATTGAATTGTGGTGTGTTGGCACTTAACTGTGTCCTCAGTCAATGGTTAACTTTAATTTTGGACCCCGTTTTGACTTTCATTTTTCCAATTTCATCTTCTGCCAAAAACCGTAATTTCTGTTATTTCTCTTCAGCTGTAGTTCTTCAATCTCCAGCAAAATTCGAGGGAGGGTGGCTGAGGCGAAATTCAAAGATGGAGCTTCAATCCATAATGTTGTAGCGTCGCCGGTACGGAGAGGTTTTTGGAGCGCCGTTGCTGCAGTTACAGGTATAATTTATTGGTAGATTTCATAAACCCTAGCTGATATAAGCCCTTACAGTCCTAATAATCGGTTGATTAGATGTGGGGGCATTTTGTCATTGTTGAGGATATGGGAGTTGGGGTAATGATTTGGTGTTAATGGGCGAGGATTTTGTGTATATGATGGTTGACTGATTCTTCATGTGATATTTTGTGTTTGATAATTTGTGTATATGATATTCATGTGGATATTTCATGTGATATTCATGGGGATTTATGTTGTATTTTGTGTGGTGGTTTAAATTTGGAGTGATTTATGTGATATTTGTATTGAAATTGGATTGCAGTTTTGTTGTTAAAGAAATGTCTGATCATGTTGAGAAAGCCTTCATGTTTGATCATGTTGAGAAAGCCATAATGTCTGATCATGTTGAGAAAGCCATAATGTCTGTTCCTGTTGAGGACAAAGGCAAAGGCATAATGTGTGATCCATTTGAGAGTCATCCTCTGTTTTTGAGGGGGGGCAAGTCATATCTTATGGTGGTGTTGCTGGTGATGAACCCCCCTATATGGAATGTATGCAACTGACTGTACCAAACTCTGCTGAGAAGAGACTAGCTGCCTTGTCTCCAGTTAAAACCATTGAGACTGTGGAGACCATTGTGTCAACCAACCAGGTGAGCATGTACTCCTATGTTGAGTCTCCTAAGTTAGGAATGGTATTTAAATCCTTTGAAGATGTAGAAACCTACTACAAGGAATATGCATAGCAGAAAGGCTTTGGAGTAACTAGAGTTTCTTCTGCATTTTTCGAAGAATAAAAAGGAGATGAGAGGTGCCACATGGAAGTGTGAGTGTTGGGGCCCACCTGATATGAGGGCAAGGAGGGAGGCCAAGAAAAGGGCCAAGGCAATGGAGATGTGTGGCACTGGTGGTGTGGTTAACGGTGAAATTGAAGAAGATATACTGCAGCGTGCCAAAAGGACATCTAAGAAATGTGAATGTGGTGCCATGTTATATGCGGGGATTGATAATTATGGGCTGTGGGTTATAAGGAAGGTGAAAACCGAACACGATAACCATACCCCCAAACCAAGTGATGCTAAGTTGGTGAAGGAATATCGAATGAAGAAGTATACCTCCAATGTAAGGAGGCAACTAATGAATTTCTATGATGAAGGTGTTCCTGTAAGGCAAGCACATGGCTGTATAGCTACTGAGACTGGGGAGGATAACCTTCCTAGTGTAAAAGACCTACAACATGAAATTTACAAGGAGAAGCGGTTGAAAATGGAAGGTGGTGACGCAACTGCAATGATGGCCTACTTTGATAAGATGCAAGCGGATAATCAGAATTTTTATCATGCACACAGATTAGATGGTGAAGGCCGGTTGAAGGACGTAATGTGGGTTGACGCTCGTAGTAGGGTTGATTATGAAGAATTTGGCGATGTGGTTTGCTTTGATGCCACTTATATAACAAACAAGTATGAGCTACCGTTTGCCAACTTCGTAGGCGTTAATCACCATGGCCAATCGATATTATTGGGATGTGCCCTCGTTTCACACGAGGATTCAGACACATTTGCTTGGGTTTTTAGGAAATGGCTATCATGCATGGGTGACAAACAACCGGGTGCAATTTTGACAGATCAAGCAGCAGCTATGCGGAAGCCTCTGGCAGAAGTTATGCCTAATGCATGCCATCGGTGGTACATTTGACACATAATGAGGAAAATCCCAGACAAGTTGGGGAATTGTGAACAGTAAGTATACATTCTGACTTAGTTTTATATTTTTGTGCTATTTCATTCTAATTTATGGGTGAAAACAGTTGGTGTAGCATATCTCTGAATTCTTGTGATTTGCTTGCATCATAGAAATCATACCACCCCCTCCCCCCCCCCCCTCTCCAACCCCTCTATTGTTGTTTTGTATTGTTTTATATCAGTGAAGTCTTGGGAGGGATGGATTTTTTTTATTTAAGTAATTGTGTTATATGCTGGTAGTAAGTATTACTGAGTTGATTATCTTCTTTTGTTAATGGTGTGTTATATTTAAATTAATGAAACATGTCCACATGCTGGTAATGAGTAGCCCTGTTGCAAGGCAGAACATATATGTACTGTGTTATATTTAAAATGCCCTGCACGCATTTTGGGCATCTTGTTCTAAGTATTTGCATAATTCCATGTTTGCACATGATTTAGCTATGTAGATTTTAAGAGTCCACTGAAGACCCTCATATATGAAAGCTTCACCGTTGGTGAATTTGAGCGTAGATGGGGAGAATTAATGACCACCTATAAGCTAGAGGAGAATGATTGGTTATCTGATTTGTATGATGAAAGGCATATGTGGGTCCCAGCTTTTATGAAAGAACACTTTTGGGCGGGTATGAAGACAACGCAAAGGGTCGAAAGCATAAATAGTTTCTTCGACGGGTTTGTTAATCGGAAAACAAGGCTGTATGAATTTCCGGAGAAGTACACAAGGGCCATGGCTAGGCGTGTGAAAGCTGAGAATGAGGCAGATGCTAGGTGTGGGAAATATCGTAGACGTCTTGTAAGTGGACCTTATCGAAGAAGAGAATGCAGAGAAGAATCAAAAGGATAGAACTACCTACTCATTATTCGGAGGTCAATCTGTTGAGAAATTCTTCCATGAGATTTACACTGATACAAAGTTCCAGGAGATTCAAATTGAGTGTTGTCGACTCATGCATTGCTCCGGGAGGGAAGAGCGTGATTTGGGAGGGAACATTATTCAATATCTACTTGAAGACAGGGTTTGGATCATTCCCGAAGGCGAGAGTGAAGAGGTGATCACTGATAGGAGGAGATTCTATTCTGTACTCTTTAATACAGTTACAAAGGAGGTCTCTTGTGATTGTAGGAAGTTTGAAACATTCGGGATTCTATGTAGGCATGTCATCCGAGTCTATGATAAAAATTTGGTGTTTGATATTCCACCCAAATATGTTCTCCGGCGCTGGCGAAAAGACGTAAGTAGGAAACATACTCGGGTGAAGGTGGCTTACCACGATCCCACTGAGAATGTGGCTGTTCAGACTTACAATAACTTGATGGCAGAGTTCCTGTCCATTTGTGACCTTGCTTCTTCTGTTCAGGACAAGGCTACAGTCGATCTAGTTGCGCAATCTATGCAAAAACTTCCTTTGGAAGTTCAGGCTAGCAGAGATAAGTTTCTTGCAAGTCAGCCATGTCTTTCCCCCATGCCAAGGAATCTGTTACAATCCTCAGAAATTGGGTCAAACATCCCTTAGGCAATTGACACCCATGGGTCAGTTTCTAAGCCTGAGGTGGAAGAAGGGAACACCAGTTTACAAACAGCAGTGAAGGATCCTATATCCAGGAAGAAGCCTCGAGGGAGACCTAAGGGATCAAGGCATAAATCTCTTGCAGAGACGGGATACAAGAAAAACAGTGTGAAAAAAGGAAAAAACATTGCTGGAACTCAGATGGACCCTGCTGTCCAGCAACCAACTGCAGTCAAGCTACCAGTAAGTGAACCGACCGCAGTCTTAAATATATGTCCAACCAAGTGTTGTTTCTTAAATAATTTCATTTTTATTGTTGCAAGCTAAGAGGAAAAGGACACAAGTCCTCCAACAACAGAACACCATTGAGAACTATTACGATTTTGTTGAAGACGATGCTGTGGGTGGTGATGACATTCTTATGAGAAATGGTCTGGGATGGTCTGGTCCCTCTGACACCTTTTAATACACACGTTGTTGTATGTCTCACTTGAGGGTCTGGGAAAAGGTGTGAAGTGTATTGTATTTTGAATTAATAACAATTTAGTTGTACAACCCTTGAGGTATGTAGGCAGTATGTTGTGACCTTGGTTATGTCTGGGTTGTTGTTGGTACTCTTACTACTGCTGTCATTAATTCCATTAGAACCCTTGATCTAATTTGCAAGTGATGACAGTGTTAAGAATTAGTTAATTAATGTGTTGCCATTCATTTTAAATATGAGATTCATGCTTTTTTTTATCAGTTTGTAAAGGTTTACTATCAGAAACAAGTTCCTTCAGGTGAATCCTAGCAATAACATAGTGGTTTATTCTTTGAGAAAATACTCTGCTGGTGTTGCTACACTTGCTTTGGGGATCACATAGAGAGCCAGTGGAGACGGAATAAAGATTTACCTGACGGTACGTTCCACAATCTAATTAATTGGGTGTCATTATGGTAGTTGTGCGTTTGTTTGTTTAATTTGTGCAGCTGGGTACTAGGTAGAGGTTGGTTTGACTTAATTTTTTTAGATATTTCTCTTAATTGGTTGTAATTTAGGTTTGCAAGTCTAACAATAAAAGTTTAGCAACTTGTTTATGGTAGCTGGTCTTCTGAGACTTTCCTTGTCGTGAAAAGGTAGTGCTCGTAGTAGAAAGGAAATTTTCGTGAAAAGTTACACAACAATAGCCCTTCATTCTTTCTGTGAAATTGTTACGAATGTCAGACAAACATGAAGATGTGCTCGTAGTAGTCGAGCTTAGATTAATATTACTTTTTGTGTGAAATTATGAGAGAATAGGATTGCTTAACTTAACAAAATTAGAGATTGGCCTATTATTTTGGGACAATCTAAATAATAAAGGTGGCTTATTATTCAGAAACAGGTTGAGTATAAATAATTTTCTTAGTGGATTAAATGTGTAATGACCTTCCAAATTGTCTAAACGGTGTAAAAGTTGTTTTGCACTAATTTGTATTTTTATGTGGCTGAAATACTGGAACTATGAATTTCTATTGGTGGTCGATTCTGTCAACAGGGGCAGCTGCTAAAGCCTCTTTTAATTAACTACATTGAACAATGTTTGTGTATAATTCCATATTCGCATGTGGCCATTAGATCCTCCTGGTCCTTTCTTACTGGATACTCAAAACAGAACATATTTTAGGCCTAAATGCTTATTTTAAATTCGTACTTAGGCATACTGCAAGTAACGTGAATCTTTACTCTAAGCATACTGCAAGTACCTTGTGCTCTTCGCCAATTTTAAAAGTATAAGGTTTCAGTTACTAATTAGCATTTCATTTTTTTTTAATAGTATTTTTTACAAAAAATTCTATCATATTGAGATTTGTTTTTAAGAAATTGAGTTAGAATATCGCAATCATCACCTTGACTTTTTACTTTTGAACATCTCCCCCATATCAATCATGCACATTAATGCTTAATATATTTATATATTTACAAAGCACCGCCTACATCTTAATATGCACTCTGACTTGCAGGGAGGTGCCTTTGATGACTTGCTTTCACCTAGCATATGTGTAATGTTGTACTGATTTGGTTTATAGGATTGTTTGTATATAGGTTGGGCCTGTTTGTTTTGTTGGGCCTTAATGTTTTCCCTTCATAATTGCCCATATACAGGTTAGGTGTTTGTCCAATTCTATTCTATGCATATAGGTTGGGCCTGTATGTTTTGTTGGGCCTGATTGTTTTCCCTTCCAACTTGGCTAACTACTGGTTTGTTCTTTGTCCAACACTAAGTTATGTGTGGTTTGTTCTTTGTCCAACTATATGTTGTGTGTGGTAGTAGGTTTGTTCTATGTCCAACTCTTAGTTATGTATGATAGCTATTGTACATTCTAATGTACAAGTCTTAGTTATGTATGTGTGCTACCACATTGATATTAGTTCAAATAAGGAGTTATCCCTAGAGAATTCAAGGCTTCCGCAATAACAAACCATAATTCAAGACAACAAACGATGGAGTCCATAAAAAGTGCAATTACCATAAAAAGTCATGATACTCAAGGACAACAAAAGACATCGACTTAATAGGAGTTCATAGACAGGCAACATAGGACAACAAAAGTCACAAAAGACATGGACTCAGTAGTTCAGAGACAGTCAACAAAGGACAACAAAAGTCTTGGTTGTGCGACCACTAAAAGCAAGTTCATTAGCTACGCTAACGACTGCTTAACTATATTACAAACAAAAGAAGTGGCCGCATCTAAAGATAATAGCAAAAGACATAAAACAGTGCATATTAAATAACATCGAAGGCCTTAATTCCTGTTGCCAATCACAATCCAAATCTGCTGACACATTAACGGTGCTCGTCCCCAAACGGAGCCACAACAACTTTGTCACCATTCAGAATTCCCGCTTCCCTTATGGTGTTTAGGGTGCACAGCACGTTATCGTCGTGGTAGAAGACTAAGTCAGTCGGATCAACATGTGTCTTATCTCCCCAGATGTGGAAGAGGCGGCAAAGTGGTGTGTCTAACTTGCCCTGAACACGAAACTTGAGCTTCCTCCGGTGTCCGGTGTTCTTAAGGTAGAACCTCTTGATCCTAGTGTTTATATTGACCACTCCCTCCTGCCAAACAATTTTAAAGTTGTGTTACCGAAGTGTGACACGTTTCTTACTGACAATTGAAGCTACACCTTCAAATAAGCAAATTTACTTGTTACCTTACTCTTATATAATCAATTTAAGCTACACATTGCTCATATTGCAAATTAACTTATTAATCCAACACCAAATGACATATACACTAACAGTTTCACCACTTCCATTCCATATAATCAATTTACACACACTCATACATACATAATTATAAAATCAAAGATACAATAAGACGTTGTGCCTAAGTAGATTCAAATGAGCATTTATACAGATTGATTAAAGTGTTTGATTATAATGGGGAAAATACACACACAATGCTAAGTAGATTGAAATGCATGTATGGAGATTGATTAGAGAGTTTGCATTACCATGGACTGTACCATGTATGGACTTTAATCAATTAATCTATTCCTTCTAGTCTACTACCACATAAAGTTTGCAAACATAGAAAGTATAAAATATTATTCACAGGAACCTAAGTCACAATCCAAGGAGAGTATTAAGGGCAATAAAATCACATGAAATCTTTAATTACATAAAAGTCAACAACATGAAAAAATTACTAAGCTTAAGGGATAAACAGATACCAGCCCTTGAACGTAGAGCACACTTCCAGTTGCAACACCCATTGGCTCCGGATATGCGGTGCGTGGGATGTAGGTGGAGCCATTGTACACTTTGATCTTTTCTGGCTTAACGTCGATGAGAGACGCGTAGTTCTCATATATGGCCTCAAATGTCTCATCACTACGAATGGTGTACATCACACCAGCGTCTCCAACCGTGTAGCCCCTTAGGATAATAGAGTACACCACACCGATTCCATTCTCAGCAGGCTTAGCTTCATTGAGGTCGACCTCTATGTTATCGTCATCATTCCCCTAAACAGTCTGACTTGGTTGAATATTTGGTGTACCACCCATGACTTCCTCTTCAGTAGGAACATCTTGATCAACAGGCGGGAGATCATTTTGTTCCAGCTTCGCCGCTCCAGTTAACTTAAAATGAGGAAGTAAGCTTGTTTCCCGGCGGCTCATGGCATCTCTAGGACAAGGTGGTGCTACCACGGGTAGCGAAGATGGAGCTACCATCATGTCAAGAGCACTTGGTATTGCTGCCATAGCCTGAGTCTGTATCCCGCGGGAAGTTCCAACTCTTGCCACCGACGAAACATTATATGGCATCATAGGTGGCTGTTCAAGACGAATTGGTGGGTACTTGTAGCAGGCAAGTAGCTCAGCAATCAGCTCTCTTCGTTTCTTTTGTTTGGAAATCTCTTTTTTGGCTTTTGGTAGTTGAGGTATATCAGGTCGGCGACGACGCTTGTTGTCGTCCCCACCGCCCCCATTCCCTTGATCTTGGTTGAGGTGGTGATTGATTGTAGACATGGGTTTCTTTATGGCTAGATGGCTTTGTAAAGGAGAAAGTGTTACTGTTTCCTTTATATGAGGTGAATGACCCTTTATATAGTGACACGAAACCCCACCGCTACGTGGCACCGTTTTGTTTGTTGCTGGCTCTTGAACCCTAATTCGGAATTACACTTACCAAAAGGCAATACGAAATTACAATTGTAATGTTGTTGATTATTACATTTATGTATAAAATCCCACTTTATCTTCCCACAGTTAAGTAATGTAAATATGATGCTACTTAATTTGAATGTGGTTGGTGGAATAAATAATCGACAGTACAGTAGTCTACTTAATTTTAATGTGGTTAGTAAAACAGAAAAACGTATTCACAAAAGTTAGGTTCAAGCATATCAATATAAGCTATAATCCGAGATTCTTGTGTAAATTCCAAAAGTGTGATTAGTTATAAATTCTAATTACACAACTTGTTAATACGAAATGTTATTAAAGGGAAATGTGTACATAACGTATGCCAGTAAAATAACGAATCACAATTGAGGAATCACAAAACAAGTAACATTGTTATGTCTACTATTACTTAACCAATTATCATATTGTGCAGATATTTATGGAAAGATATTTATGGAAATACACATTAACGACATAAATAATAAAAAAAAAATTATATTTCATGACAATGCGAGGGTTAATTTGAGGATTATAATAGTACACATATTTACGCTTTGTTTACCATCTACAAAATTAGAAAATACCAAAAAATAGAAATTCAATAATAACATGTGTTTATACATTTGTCAATAGAATCGGGATATAATGTACCATTTTGCACATATGAGATTAAATAAATAGGTAAATTATAACGAATTTTGTACACTCCTCTGTTTGGAATGCCCTCCTATACTTAGAGATGTCAAAACCAAAACGATCCGATTTGATCTGACAAAACCAAGACGCAAACTCGATCTGTAACTAAACCAAAGTGAAGCCGAATCCGAACTTGACCCGATCTATCTCGGCAATGATTTGATCTGACCTGAACTCAACTCGAATCCGATTTCTCCCAACCTAACTCAAACCAAACTGATTTCACCCGACCCGAGCCATTATACTATACAATTACTAATTACTAATAAGTTATCTTTTACAAACACATAGCCCGCCGTCTTAATTTTAGTTAAACATATAAGTCATCGATAAAAACATAATTAATAATCATAAAATGTTCA